CCACTTTTTAGTAAATGAAAGAACTAGAATAATATGGTAATATGAAAATCAAACACGAATACAAGATTTACGTGGTAAAAATATACCATGGCCAGATAATAATGGAGGTTATTGTGTAGAATGTAAAGATTTATTTTTCTAGAAGTTTACTCCTCAGATATATAGTGCAAATAAGAGTCTAAGACCGTGTTTGATAGGCCATATTTTCCGGGGAAGTAGGAAAATATTTTCCACTTTCCACTTTTTTGGCTGTTTGATAGGCGAAATTTTCCACGAAAAATATTTTCCGGATTTTCCCCACACGTGTGCAATTTCCGGGTTTTTGATGAAAATGTTTTCCCGCCTTTTTGGTGGGAAAATATTTTCCCGGCTGGCTGAATTTTTTTTTTTGGCAATGGAAACAAATGTCATAACTAATGGTAAAAAAAGATTTCACTTTAATGGACAATTTTCATGTAAAACAAAGTCAAACGAACACTAAATTTTGATAAAAAAATGATTTTTTAGGAAACAATTTCTTTTTTTTTTTTACTTTTTGGCAATAGAAACAAATATTATAACCAAATGTGGAAAAAAAAAATCACTTTAATGGACAATTTCCATGTAAAACAAAGCCAAATGAATAGAAAATTTAAAAATTTTCCGGGTGGAAAATTATACCAATCAAACACACTTGAAATCATTTTTCCTACAAAATATTTTCTAGGCAAATCTTTTCCCTATAAAACATTTTCTTTCCACCCATTTTCCACCCTTGCAATCAAACACGCCCTAAGATGTGGTGGAGTTCAACTATAACAAGTCCATACAATAATGGAATTTTGGGATAAAATAGAATTTGAAAATCTATCAAAATAGTGAAATGTTCCAAAACTGAATAAGATCGTCGCTCGAGCAGTGGTTTGGTGGATGTCGAGCGGTGGCTGGCCGCTTCAACGACAACCTAATGGTTAGCGAGCGTTGGCGATCCTGTTCTAAGCGCTTAGTGGTATGCTTAGAGCTTAGCAAGTGCCGATGCGATGCTTCATTTTCCTTGCATGATTTATTCCTCTCCTAATGCAAATTGGACTCCTTAAATTCTTCTTCAAGTCCAACAAAAATCATCAACCCCCAATTAAACTCCCAAATTTAATTCCAACTAGAATTCGCAAATAGGCTTCCTTTAAAATTACCAAGTCGACTTCAAATAGAATTCTCAAATAGAATTCAGGACACACCTTAATTCTAACAAAAACCAAACTTAAGCAAAAATAAATAAAAAATAATTAATGTTGTGAAAGAAACCTTAAAATAAATACCCTGAATGAGAAATTGAACAAGTTTAAGGTTTTGCTTCTCATGAGAGAGACTAAATAATTAACCATTTAGGGTAGGGATGTAACCAACGTAAAAGTTTATGATTATTGAATTGATTATGTACACACATATTGATCTAGCACTAGTTAAGTAAAAATTTATTTGATAGCATGACTTAGAAATCTTTTATGGGTTTCAATACTTGACGCGAATACAACAAGCTATCTAATCATTGATTTTTATTTTCATTTGTTTACGTGTTAAATAGATAATCTTGCTAGTGATGAACAAGAGCTTAAGTATGAGGGTATTTGATAAGCATGATTTCATTGCTTTTGAAAATGAAAAATTTTGCGGATTTAGTAATATCTTTAGCATAATTATTTTAATTGTAGAAAAGACGCGAACTTTGTAGCAAATTGGGGGTGACGAAATGCTATTTTGAGCTAAATGGGAGTTGATTAGGAGAAATTGATGGCTAAACGAATTGCATATGATTAAAAGTAAATATTAAGAAAGCAATTTGAGGTAAGTCACAAGTTTTGAAAGTGAAATTCAACATTTCCAAAATTTGGGGGCTAAATTGCGACATTTCTAAACGTGAGATAGGCCAATTCCAGATGATTAATGATGATGAGGATTAATTTGAAAGATTAAAATGATGAAGGACCTGATACAAAAAACAACAGATTTGAGCTAAACTAAAGAAGACAGTAAGGGACAAACTTGATGACGAAGAAATTGGATCAAATCTTGTAATCGTAAGGCTTGACCCTTGCGATGGGAGCAAATACGTTACCAGCATGTTTATGGCACATGAACCATGTGATCACATGGCTTCGTGAGACAAAAATGATTTTCTTTCCTAGTTTAAATAAACTCCTACATGGAATAGGTAGCTTTACTTTTTTTCAAACTCGTTTACACTCCTATAACTTCCTCCTTCCCAAACTACAAATGCTGGCTCCGCCACTGGCTATGAGAATTATATAAACTTTTTCAAAATGTCAAAATTCTTTTTTGACAGTAAGTTATATTTTCACGTCTACAAATTACATACATTATTAACTAATTTTGTTATCATAATTTGTTATTCAACTATTTTGTACTCTACAAAATTTCCAATTAAGCTTATATCATCCTCATTTTTTATGTACGAGCCTTTTCATTACTAGCAAATTAAACTTGACTTAATCAAAATATATTTTTCTTTGTCTCCCCAAATTAATAAAATAGTTACTTGATGATTGAAAAACTAGCTGTGTTGACTTCAAGCTTCTATATTTATTATTGGGGAAATTAGGTTAAATGCTCTAAAAAGTGTCTGAATTAGATTAATACCTTAAATTGATTAAACATCACATAAACCCCGTAATAATTACATCCTAAACTAAAACAAACCCCCAAAACCCAAAATCTCCCAACTAACTGAGTACTGAGACCACAAACGTTTAATTCTAAGTTTTTGGTGACCTGATTATACTTTTTTCTTTTCCTCTTGCGGTTATGTAGGCTTAGAATTCGTAGAAAAAAACGTGCCCAAATATGAGGAGCAGTTGGAACTTAAAATTGCAAAAGCACAGTTGGAGGAGCTGAAGAAGGATGCTCTTGGTGCAATGGATACTCAGAAGAAGAGGTGATCTATTCTGGATTCTACCGGGTTTTATTTCATTACAATCTTAATGGGTCTTTATATTCTCTGCTGTGGAATCCTTGCCCCCTCCATCTCTACTGTGGAACACTTCTAATATTGAATGGATTGGTTGTGTTTCTTGAAAGTGGCAAAAGATTTGCATATATGATTCACTGGGTGGCTATCACCAAATGGGTTTTGAATTTGATGTTTATTGTTGCAATACAATGACCAAGGCTAATAAAGACAGTACGTGTTTGGAAAGTGCTGCCACGGTGTTTGGTGAAATGTCTTACAGGGATTTGGTATCTTGGACAACGATGATTTTGTGGTATGTTGGGGGAAAGGAATGATGGTGCTGCTTCTCGATCGTTTAGTGAAATGGAGAAAGAGGTTGAGCATAATTGTAATGATATGGATATGCTCAAGTTTTTTCTTGGTTACTTGCTCAAAAATGGTTTCATCAGCCATCATCAAACCTATCAATTTGGGACAATAAATTTGGCATTTTTTTTAAGATTTTGTAAACTTTTTGGAATATTTGTCAATATTTTTGAGTTTTTGTCACTTTTCTCTATAGATGATGTATAACCAAGAGTTTTAGATGGACGATTGAAACAAATGTGATTAAAGCTCTTGAAATTTTGGAGTTCATGCAATAAAAAGGCTCAACCATGTCTTCTCCACCACAAAAACTTGTGGAATTATGATTGTGTCACTTGCTTAATATCATAGAAATGAGGAGTACTTCAAACTCTTAATTGATATGAGAAATAGTCCATGCCTTCCTGATGTGTCAACACACAAAGACCTAATTTGTGTCACTTTTTTTTGAATTCGTCACTTTTTTCAATTTCTGTCACTTTTTTGGATTTTTGTCACTTTTTTTAAGGGGATGTATTTAATTAGGACTTTTAGAGACTTTCAAAGACTTCAAAAGTTTAGGTGTATTCAATTAAGACTTTTAGACACTCCCCGAAAACTCAAGTGTATTCAATTGAGGCTTTGAGAGACTTTTTAAAAGTCTCTTAAAGTCACGAGGTATTCAATTGAAACTTTTTAGAAGTTTCTACAAGTTACGTGATATTTAATTAAAAAGGAGATTTAGAGGATTTATAATTTGGTAGACTTTTGGAGTTGCCAAGGTCAAGATTTATATTATTTGTACATGTTCATAGCTATAGCAAGTTGAAGCATGATTTAGCTCAACTTAAAAATAACTCTCAAGTAACCTTTTCTTCCAGAATTTTATTGAATAAGGTTCTTCTTGTTCACTTGTTTTAATAGTAAATTAGTTGTTACTTTTATATTAAATAACTTTAGTGATTTACTACAAGTGTTTCGTCACTTTTTCACATCTTTGCAGTTTTTTTAACTTTTTGTCACTTTTCTGAACGTTTGTCACTTTTTTGGAATTCATGTTACTTTTTTAGTGTTTGCCACTCTTTTCTATCACATTTTTTTATTGTTTGTTATTTTTTTTTAATTTCTATCACTTTTTTAGTGACAAATATCACTTTGTAATAAAAGTGACATTGTATTTGAATTCATGTCACTTTTTTGAGTTTGTGTCACTTTTTGAGTTTGTATCACTTTTTGAAAGCGTGTCACTTTTTTTAGTTTTGTCACTTTTTTTGAGTTTGTCACTTTTTTTATAAAAAAAAAAGTGACAATTTTTATAAAAAAAAGTGACATTGTGTCACTTTTTCATTTTACACAGTATTTTTTACTTCCTACAAACCTTTCATATGATTTTTCAAAACATCACTAATTTTAAGAGTATTTTTGTAAGTACCCCTTTATTATTTAATCTATATATGTTGGAATTATTCTATTACGTGGGCTTCCATTTGATTGCAATTTTTGCGGGTTAGATGTAATTTGCAATGGGAAAATTAGGCCTAATACTCTAAAAATTGACCCAATTAGATTAATACCCTAAATTAATTAAACATCACGTGAATCCCGTATTAATTACGCCCTAAACTAAAATCAAATCTGCAAAACTCCAAAATCTCACTGCCTCACCTCTTTCTCTCTCTACCCACATCGCCCATTCTAGCAGCCATTTATGGCCTCTTTTTCCGGCAACGATCGACCACCCAAATCCGCGGACCTGCGTGTTGTAGGCATAACCGCTGCAGGTAAGAATCTCCGGGGATATATTCCGTCGGAGCTTGGCAGCTTGATTTATCTCCGGCGTCTTAATTTGCATGATGACGACTTTTATGGCTCCATTCCGAATCAACTCTTCAATGCTTCATCACTACATAGCATCTTTCTCTATGGTAATAGTCTCAATGGTTCTCTACCCCCCTCTACGTGCAACCTTCCTCTGCTCCAAAATCTTGACCTCTTGAAAAATTCCATATCCGGGCCACTCCCGAAGTTTCTGAGGAACTGTCGGCAATTGCAGAGACTTATTCTCGCCGGAAATGATTTTTCCGACGAGATTCCGGAGGGGGAACTTGCCAATTTGGAGCAGCTTGATCTCTCGGCAAATGAATTTAATGGTTCAATCCCAGTAGATATAGGAGAATTGAAGTCACTTTCAGAGACTTTGAATTTGTCATTCAATCATTTTACTGGGAAAATTCCAAAAACATTAGGTGATTTGCCACTTACTGTGAGTTTTGATCTTAGGAATAATAATTTAACAGGTGAAATTCCGCAAACAGGGTCGTTTGCTAATCAGGGTCCTACGGCATTTTTGAATAATTCGATGTTGTGCGGATTTCCATTACAAAGGACTTGTAAAATTAATTCAGAAAATACACCTCGGATTCAGAGTGATTCTGCTTATATTAATGTGTAAAGATTAGTGCTTTTTTTGGAAATTATGCGTGTTTGAATTTTTGATAATTGAATTGTTGTTTGTTTGTAAACAATGCTATTAGAACTGCAAGGAACTCAAAGTTAAATCCGGGATTTTGATGAAATATACGATTTGAGAAGGGAAATAGGAGGTCTTCGAATGTTTTCGATTTGTGTTTTGTCACTTTTTGGAATGTTTGTAGTTTTGTTTTAACTTTCGTCACTTTTCTGAACGTTTGTCACTTTTTTTTTAATTCATGTCACTTTTTCAGTATTTATCACTTTATCTATCACCTTTGTTTTTTTGTTGGTGATAAGAAGTTTTGGTGCTGACTTTTGTTCTTAAAGGAAAAATTCGACTCCATTTATTACAGAAGGAGGAAGCTCGTGAATTTCGTCAAAAGATTATCACTTTTTTTTTTAATTTGTGTCACTTTTTTATTAAATTTTCTTCACTTTTTTGAGTTTGTCACTTTTTTTTTTTGTTTTGAATTTTGTCACTTTTTGAGTGTCACTTTTTTTTATTGTTTGTCACTTTTTTTGAATTTTGTCACATTTTAAGTTTTTGTCACTTTTTAAGAAAATAAAAAAAATGAAATAATATATTATATTTTTCTAACATAATCAGCATGTGGATTTGCCTGAATGTGTTAATTATTTTAAGAACATGATTAACGGTACAACACAAATGGATGACGTTATTTCGATACTTGTCACTTTTTTTAAATTTGTGTCACTTTTTTAAAAAAAGTGACAATTTTTATAAAAAAAGTGACATTGTGTCACTTTTTTATTTTACACAGTATTTTTTACTTCCTAAAAACTTTTTACATGATTTTTCAAAACACCCCTAATTTTAAGGGTATTTTTGTAAGTACCCCATTTGCAATGATACTGTGATTAGGCTCAATATGTTAGTGATCACTTAGGCCGTTGTACACCTTACGGGCTATATTATTATAATATGGTAATTTTAAGTATGTGGGCCGAAATTATGTGAACCCTAATTAGGGTTAGAGTCGGTAATGGGCCGACTTTATGATTTCCTATATAATGGTTAGGTCCTCTCTCCTCTCCATATGTTTTTGGCTTGCCCCATTGACTGCTGAGTATTTTGTGAGGAGCAAGGAGAGGAAGATCTTGTTGGTAATATTCATACATAACAATGTTTTCCACGGGTATGAATTTCGAACTATTAATTTAATTATGTGATTCTTATTCTTAGCATGATTGTATTGAATAATTACAACAATTGGTATCAGAGCAACATGCTAAGATTAGAATCCTTTGAACAAAATATTAAATTTCTCACTCACGAAATCATCCCACACGTATGTCTGCTGTCTGAATGGATGTAGTACTGTGCGTGTAATCTCCTCTCTCTTGCACATATATTTTCAACCTGCTAAACAAAAGAAAACTTTGACTATTGTATTTTGAATTCATTACTATTTATCACTTATGAATCCTGAAGCACGTTGCTGTAGCTCAGGAGCTGCAACTGTATGATCTTTTCTTACCTTCTACATGGGTTGTTGGGAATTTACTTAATCATGCACATCGGAAATAAAACAAGCGTTGGACTCTAATTTGACATTTAAT